GGAATTAGTGGACTGCACCCCTAGGGCTCTTCTGACAATTTCAATCACAAAACTTATTCAATGCAGTGCATGGATGGGCCGTTTTCCAACACTCAACTTCGTCTCCGTCTCAGCTGCGTCCCCGAAACCAATCCCCGATTGTGGGCCTGAAGTGTTTAAATCAAATTGGATTATTATAGTTTTTTTGCTCTCTTGCATCTTATATAAATGATGTTTTGTGGCACTATTAGACTAATTAGAGCGCTTACAGCTTCAAAGTCAGGTAGTAAAAAAAACAGTTGAATCCTCCGACGGAGCCGAATTGAGTTTTGGAAAACGGCCAACGATTGATCTGTAGGTACGTGGAGTTTGGAAGATGAGGGCGCCGTTCGCTGCAGAGGGAGAACGACTGAACTTTTAAGCAGAAAGGTAGTCCAAGCCAAAGATACTGCCATCATCATGGCATCAGTAACTTTTGTCATAAGCTGTACTTACAAATTGCGTGTTGCCGTTAAAACAACAATCTCAACCAAGGCCTATCTAAGAGTTTTACTTTCAAAATGTGTAAGCGTTGTTGAAATGTTACACACTTTAAGTTTCAAAGTCTGTCTAAGAAAGAGAAATTAATCACTAGAGAATGCCTTGCATACCCCTTAAAGCTGGTAGAATAGAATATTCGATACGAAAAAGAACAGATTTTGAGAAACTCAATCTTTGTGATGGCATAAGTAATATCATTCACTACGTTGTTCAGGACTGTACAAGGTAGTCCGCAAGAACTATATAAAACTTCTTTGTCAACTATATAATTATGTAACGTATGTGAAAAAAGTCTTAAGAACTTCATCAATTAAAACAGAAAAATCCCTTTTGTTTGACGCCCATCCCGTAATATGTTATAAGCTTGCATCTTGGAAAAAAGAGAATTTTTGAAGTATTTGAAAAAAAATAGAAAACTACCAAATGAACTCAGATGGGAAAAAAAATTGTGCATTGCGATCTTTCTGTTGGAAGAAATCACGGTCGTTCATCTGTTTTAAAGCCCGAATTATTTATCAACGCTATCAGATAGGCTGAGATTGCAAACGGCCTGGGTAACTTATGCATATACGTTTGGAATCATAATATGGAGTTTTAAAGCCATGTTTTACACATTTGCTCTAATTGATTTGACTGAGAAAATACCATGGCAAATACGTGTATTGATTAATACAGGCGATTAACAATGGTGCTTCTCCAAGGGTTTGCAATTCGTTGACCAATCACAACGCACGAAAACTGTCGACCCTTTCCAAACTTGCATATGGTCGAAAGATTGGTCAACGCGTTGCAAACTCTTGAAGGCGCACTTTTGTGAACAGCCCGTATTGGAAAACACAATCAACATTTTTTTTTCTGTAGAGGTTATTTAATTTTACCTTTATAATTATCAAGCTATATAATTGTGGGGTCAAAAGGAAAAGCAATTTATTTGTTTAGAGATAAAAGGAAACCATTTCTGTCATGTGAGAAAGTCAAACTACTGATCAATCGCTGTTATAAATTTTGTTTGTAAAAGAAGTTTCATATTAATTAAGTTTTAGTTTCATACCTTGTTTGCGAGTAATTAATGCAACGATACTGGCAATCTGGTTAATGCTGTTTGTCTTGCCAGCTACTTCGTGTTTCTGGGTGGCTTATGTATTATGCAACAAATTATTTAAACAAGTTAAAAATACCCAATACTAATCGAAATCTGAATGACGTTAATATTTACTTTATAAAACTACCTTACTCAGCACGTGGATTGATGTGAAATGCGTCATTACAGACGAGTTGACTGACAATCATTGCGAACAAGTCCTATACCACCAATATAAACACCATCTGTGTATTCTGATGTTCGTTTCCCGAAATTTAAGTTTTTCTTGCGGAGAGAGAATTTTCTACTTTAACAGGTCCCACGTAGACTTTAAAATAAAGTCATAACACATGTACATAAAAGCGCTGCAATCAGTAACTAGATTGAAAAGTCTAAACATCAGTTCATGAGAAAAGACACAAGAGTCGTAGTTCAGAGAAGTTTGGTTCCTTTTATTTACTCTGTAAGTTAACGAGTGCTGGTAATACAAATGAATGAGTTGCTAGGAAATTGTATAGACCTCTATTTACAATATAATTTACGGCTTATTACAATAATGTTAATGCTTTCCCCGCTTATCTACTGCAACATCGCTTAAAACCACTGGAAATACCTGCGCGCGAAAACTTGACAAAATTCTATGTTCTTGAAACACGGAAGTTTAAGATACGTGGACAGTAAAACATGCTGGGGTATTAATTGCATAAGAGGTAGCAGCGGTGAGGAAGCCGTTTGACGACGGCCTAATTTGAGCAATCTGCACGCGCAGAAACCCCGATAAGTCGGTTTACGCTTACAGTTTTAATTTAGTTCATAAACGCTGCTGCTTACACCAGCTACATGTTGATGGTATTGCGGAAGCTCAGATGAAAAAAGAAAACAATTCGAAAATCGACTCAAAACGTCATTTTTTATCTATATTTATCTAGATTAATTTCCCCTCGAAGTGACCTTCCCAAACTTTATCACATAAAGCCATGTGCTGGTCCCTTTGACAGTCTCACGATAACATGTACGTTTGACCTAACTGATAATTGTCACCTTTTTTATTTGAAAATGAAACTGTGAACAAAAGTGAACAAACCTCATCATTCTCAAGAGGGCGAGATTAGTCAACTACAGTAACAACCCCAATTTGACAACCTTAACAGACCATCCTGATAACTCGGTCTAACCTGCTCATCATTTGCTAAAAAAATCGAAGCATTCACTTAGAAAATACTTCGAAAATAAATGTTTCAGACCAGTCTCATTGCGTTTGTGCACAGATTGTCAAGTGATGTCTGTTTATATAACTCTTTCCCCCATATCAACTGCTGAAATACTGGTCCCTGAAAACATTAGGGTCCTCCTCATTGCCGAGGAACCTTCAGATACTGAACATCCTACACATAGGACGGTGTTCACAGACTCAAGAGTGCAAATCACATCCCTGCCATCAGCGGTTGAGCCTGAAAATAAAACAACCCCTAATATAAATGGAAATGTATTGAAAAGGATTTTATATTTGGAAGAAAATGTAACAAATACAATACGATTTATTCATTTCACAAATAACCTCTTGCTTTAAAATCACACTCTGAGCTGTCGCGTAACACCTATGTAACAATTTCTATTATATTCTCATAAATGATACATTTATATCAAACCTTTCTAATTGTGCAAGATCTGACAAACATACTTTACAATGGCTTTCATACAAAATTTGCTAAATATTTCATACGTGAGTATATATGTACATTTCCATCATTCCACTCAGTTCTATCAAAAATAAGATTTGGCAACATGCTCTGATGCATAACCTTTGGTACACCAACTAGACCAGCTGATCGGCAAATCTGTAATTTTGCAGAAGGTGTCTCTGAGCCTCTATTCAACACTTAATGGCCATAATAAAGTACCTTTTGGAATCTCAGAAAAGTCTTCAGTACGTTGTAACAAAAAACACTAATACACACCAATTTTGCAAGGTAACTTCTGTAGACTCTAGATTTTAAAATCGTGAATTCTGGATATAATGCAGCAAGATGGCCCCTCAAATATGTACAAATGAAAAAAAGGAGCAATCAACATTTTGATATGATCTGATTTGCTTCAGAGGGAAGTCAATGTTTCTAGGCAATGAAGAACTGTACAAATATTTGTACAAAACATGAAAGTATAGACATTATAATTATGCGCAGTTCCATCCTGGGGGGGGAAGTGTCTGAAGAACAAATAAAAATATTGGAGAACAAATAAAACTGAAACATTTGCTATGTGTGGTAAATTTTGGAGTAACTAAAGATTATTCATAAAGCTAGGTTTACACTAGTTCTCAGCGGCCACGGCAATCGCATTCTGGCCGCAGTGGACAAACGGTATGGACGTGAGACAACGTGGGGGGATGGGATGGGCAAACACTCCAAACTGTCAAATATTTTGCCACGGCAGTCACTGTGCAGATGAGAAACCTAGTGGGCCGTACGTGATAGACCGTAACAAAACATGGAGACGGTTCGTAGTTGGACAGGAAGCATGTACTTTGCCCAGCATCTCACGGTCCTTTCAGGTTTTGTCACATTCTGCCGTGTGTAGCGGGTGTTTTGTCACGGTTGCTGCACATTTTGTCCGTTTTGCCACGTTTTGTCACGGTCCTCAAGGCAAGCTAGTGTGTACGGTAGCCATTTTGTCAAGTTCAATAACAGGGCGTCCAGATGTGTGACAGTTTACAGGCCCGGTGCGATGCAGAGTGTTGCGTTCAATGGCGAGCATGGTCTGGGAGCAGGGCAACTTCATACAACGTGATAAAAAACAACTTTTGAGAAATCAACTGAAGGCAATTTCAATAGCCCTGTCTATCACCTTTAGAAATGTGCGGACTTGGCTAATTACGTAATCCGAACATGATTAGAATGGGCTTTACAACAGACCGTGAGAAAACTTAGCAGGACCTCGCAAAACTTGATTACAGAGAAAAAATTGCCTAAATCCAACGGCGCACTATGTTTCGGGCACACGTGATTGCCGTTGCCATCGGGAACATAGTGTTTACCTAGCTTTAGAATTCTTTGTGCAACAAGTGGCACAGAGCTTACAGAACAGTCTGGAAAATGGCCCGAAGTGTCTGAACCCGAAAAATACATGTACAAATATGCTCAAGAAAATAAAACAACTATAAAATGCTACACAGAAAATACACTCTCTTAATTAAAGTACAAGGAATGCATGAAAATGGACAATGTGCCTATTTCTCTCCTCTTCTGTGTGATGTATTCCGACTTATTTTTAAAAATTCCAATACAAGTAAGGAGTATTACCACATTTGGGAATAGTGACCTTTCCCTGTGTAATTTGTGGTCCGTATGCTCCAACATTTAGGAAAAGCACTTTGTTTTCATGGAAACACCCACAATCCTTTACGGGCTGTAAGAACAGGCCTTCCGATTAGTCAGATTGCATGAAATTTGTGACATATAGCATGTCCAAATAGGGTTAAACTCCAGAGTGAAACAAGAATTCAGTGAAGGCAGGCAAGTGTGTGGGTTTAATCACTTGACCCTCCATCCTTTAAAACATGTTTTCTTTGGGTATAAATTTGGCACCAGGCAGACAGCTGTTGAACTTACCCTGAAAAACATGTTTGAGCATAATGAAACACTTGGGGCAAAGTAAAAACACAAGCGGTGAGTTATTAAGAGTTGAATGACGGAGGAGGGGTATGTGGCACAAATATGGCAGGTAGTGCCTTGTTCATTTGTACGAAAGGCGCGAGGGAAAAACTTTACAATGTTTCTGGAACACCTGTGGCCAAGTCGACATCCACACCGGGCAGAGTACACATATGAAGAATGATACCCAGGGGAGCGGACATCTCAGCCAATTTTTGTTTTTTTCCCTTTTGTAGTGAGCTGTTGCACTCGTCAAGGGTAGTCGCCCCTGGAAGACTTGCTGAGCCGTAACTGAGACTTGCTGAGCCACTCGCCGAAGCAGCTTTGCCGTTTCAACGAGAAGTCGGCAATGAGTGGTTTTTCCTGTAGGCAAAAGAGGGAGAAGGTATTGGAGTCCACACTCCGCAGCCCGCCTCTTCCCGCCCCCTCAGCATCAGCGGAAGTTAGGCGCCGCGACCTTAAGGCAGGTCTTGCCCACATCTCCAGCCAAGATCAGAGGGGTGGTCATGTGATGCTGGATAAGGAGTACTGCCGTGTCAAAAACCTGGCAAGATGAAGGAAAGATGATGGATCAAGCATTGTTAACGGTAACATAAAGAATACACAAGGAATAAAAAGGAAAAACACTGCCATAACCTGTAGGCACCTCTAAGGAAAACACATTTTCTCTGATTTTATCTCTTTCAATAAATATGGAAGCATCCAAATCAAATGCATGCCAACCAATGGCCACATGCATTGTTTGGCATGCACAGGGCCTATCCACTACGAGGGCGAGGTTTCCCCTCGTTTTCTCAGAATGATGCAATCTACATTCAGAACTCGTATCTTGGCATGAACTGAAAAAAAAAGCCCTTTTGAGCTTGTTATTGTTCAGCTCTGAAGACAAACGACACTGCGTTCGATTTTGGTGCTTCCATATTTATTTGAACAGATAAAATCAGAAAAATGTGATTTCCATAGATGTGCTCTTTAAAAATTTCTAGCACAAGTGAAACGGTCATTGAACCATTCCACAATTGATGATGCTACATAGACAGCATTTCGGGCCCTCAAGACCTTCTGGCTGGAAGCAAAATAACGAAGATGTAACATTGCCAATACTTGATATTTTAAAACTCAAATATGCAGTACATTCTGTTTTTACGTTTGGAATAATCAAAGTCTGCCAAGTCTAAAATAATTGTTCATGGCTGTATTTGGTACATATACAGTACACATGAACAAATGGAACTGATGTGTCATAGAAACTGGTGGTCTTAACATCGTATTGCATGCTTTCCTTGATTAGCCTACAGTGGCTCGGATATAAAAATGACAAGTCAAATGTCACAACACAACTGCCAAATATCAGTTGGAAATGTAAATTAGAAGAAAAATCTCTCTCTTGATGCAAAAAAATTTAAAATTGGAAAAAAACATGAGCATCCATTTTAACCCCTTCATGGCGGGATTGGATTCTTTTGACCGTGACTGCTGGACTGTGGTATGCCCGGTATGCAGAGCCCTATCCAGCAGCAGGCCCACATTGAAACCGCAGGTGCATGATGAATGGAATGTAAGCTTGGTGTGCACTAATCCTCCCACTGAGCTGCGTTTGCTGTCTCCCGGCACGAAGGGGTTAAAAGTACGCAGAAACTAGGTACGGACATGCCAATCGCACCTGCTCATTTTCTTTGTAGGTGCCCAGTGCATACTTGCCGTCGTCTCGTAGCCGGATGTGCAGGTTCCGGACCTTGTTGTTGTACCAGAGAGACAGTGAGTAGGGAATATTGTCTTCTCCTTTGCTGCTATTCCGGACGATGAATGCACCATCCTGGAAAGAGGCAAAGATGAAGCGTGAAGAGAGATTCCGTGCAACGTCGACCGAAGCGAGGGAGCTGATCAAGGAGGGTATTGCCACACTATATCTAGCACCCACATGATGATGTCCTTGGTCACAGCACCTGTGCGCATGTTAACGCTACCTACCTAGTGTGGACGTGCCTTTGCTTTCTTGTATTTAAGACAATACAGTGAAATTCTATCTTGCTCGGCAAGCCTTTTTTACACGTTTTTGGGGGTCAGTTTCCTTGACTGTTACTTCCTCTTTTTACAGACAATCCGGACCTAAAAATGCATCTCAACCTGCTGTCCAGAAATAAGGTATCCTTGTGTGGACCTGGCTTATCCTCACAAGTCTGGCACAGCTTGCATTATGCACTTCTCTTCTGTTCGCCAGTCCACACAAGGTGCATCCTCACAGCAAGCATTTAGTATGCTGGGGAAAAGGACCCCTTCCCCACCCCATAACGAGGACCTCTGACTGTGCATCAGTGTGTCAATAAACTACTACAATGCATGACAGGCACCAGTGACACGATGGTGTCTTGCCCTTATCTTCCACACTTTGTGTGCTCTTCTAATGTCAGTGACAACGTGCCAGAGCCCGCCGGTTGAGTGCTGGTTCTTGACTGAATCCGCTTAAAAGATATGGTTACCATCTTGCTTTCCTTCAGGATCTTCACGGCTTCCTCCCGGCTCAGATCAGGGTCGTACCACGGATAGCCGGTCATTTCACTCTGTGCAAACAAACAGTGTCATTTTCTCTCAGCTTAACTTACGCTCTGTCTTTGACATGGCAGGAAACAGTTGGACAAATGAGGTGCCACAACTTGACACCCTGCCAGTTTGAACACTTTCAGTGTGTGTGAGTTGGCGTGCAGCTGCACTGAAACTTGAAACTTGCACTATGCACTGTAGTTCTTGGATGACTTGTGAAACGATTCACTCTAAGTTTGCTCTGTGGAAAGACTGGACTGCCTCATTCTGGAAGGAATAAGCATTACTCTAAAACACTCCACCTGACAAAAATGATTAAGCCCAGTTAAAGGGGTGATTGAAATAGCTTGAATTTACCTGATCCAATGAAATGAGTTTTCAGAAACAAATGAGGAAATTCTGCCTGCATCATACAACCAGCACAATAGATACGTCACTCGACAGAAACCATACCATAAAGCACCACTGATATCTTACCCGCTTAGGGGGTTGTGGCATGGGCTTGGGCGCCGGATGGGCTTGCTCAGGCTCAGGCGGCGGAGGCTGTGGCACATCTTTGGCTATCTGCTTGGGAAGCTCTGGTTGCCTTCTGCCATGCGCTGTCAGTTGAAACAGGAGAGTGTTTCAGAGTGAGTTACTACATGTGATCAGCGACTGAGAAAGAATACTTTAAACTGCAAATAAACACAAGACAAAATTTATAACTCTGGAAGGCTCAATGATTTTTTCTGAGAACACCATCGAGACAAGACAGGGATGCCCACTCTTCTTAATCGAATCACTATAAATACGAGAAAATTCTCTTGAAACCACTGATAACTGTTGGGAATCTGCTGGAACACAGCAAAATAAGCCTTTGGTGAGTTAAACTTTGACATGAATCTGGTACACTGAGTTATTTCAATTCAACAACTTGAATTCTCCATACTAAAACCACCATTGCCATACCTCGGGACAAGCTTGTGCCAAGTTACATAAGAGACACCTTGCAACAATACACTGTTCTCAATGGATAAGAAGGATACACAGGAACCAGTCCATTCCAGAGATGGTGGTAGCTATGCGAAAGCTTGCCCGGAATCACAAGGTATAGCAACAGTGTCTTTAGTCTGGGGAATTCAAGTCGTTATGTTTATGTGCAATCAGATAACTCAGTGTACCAGATTTTGTTCAAATTTAACTTAAAAATGGCTTATTCCAACTGATGAGAATTTGCGTAGGAAAGTTCTTAATTTGAAGATGGTTTCCACAGTGAGGGCACAAGCAAAGCTGGGCCAATACACTGACAATTAAGTGACACAATGAATTCAGCTCTGCAATGTAATGTGGAGGAAAGGCTGTGTCAACATACGGGTAAACTTCTTGATTTGTTTGGCAGGTTCCTTAGTAGGAATCGGGGGTGTTGGCTTCGACTCGACGTTAGCGGGAAGCTCTGCGATTGGTCGAGACCTAGGTGTTGGCCGTGGGGGCACCTGTGCAGGTAACGAGGCTTGGGGAGGGCTAGGCATGGGTGGTTTGTTACCACCTGGCACAGGTGGATTACTCGTTGGTGAGTTACCCTCCGAGACGGCTGAGTTCAGCCATGATGGGCGGGGCCCCACGGGCTTGCTTGCATTAGGCTTGGCTGACAGGTCAGGTTTGTTTGCCTGTGGCCTGGGGAGAAGCGGAGGCCGGGTGGGTTCCGTCTCTTCTGTTGTCCCCTGGAACTGCTGCAGCCTCCTGCTAATGGTTCCGCTGCCACTTCCTGAGTTCTCCTCGACCTCCGGAGCCCGCTCCAGGTCTCGCGGAATGTTCTTGGGCAACGGTGGGGGCGGCTTGGGTGTGCTGCCCAGCACTGGGGGCCGGGGGGCAAAATTCCGGTTTTCATCTGGCCTGCTCCCATTGCTGAGGAGGTGGCCGATGCCAGCCCGGCCCGGGGACCTGTCCCGTCGGTGGTCGTCAGCCGGCCGGTTCATCACTTCCCGGATGACGTGGGGAGGGGGATCGGGCAGGACTTTGCTGAAGCCCTTGCTCTCAATGGGCGTCCGGGTAACCACGGGCCGTGTGGGAATGGGTGGCGGCAAAGTCTCGTCCGGTAGTGGCGGGTTGGAGATGGTCAGTTCGGGAGGCTTCATCGGCCTTGGGGGAGGCATGCCACTGCCAGCTTGAGGGGGAAGTGGTGCTGGTGGACGGCCTGTGGGTGACATCAATCCTCCACTCTCTGATTGAGAAAGCCACACAAAATAACGACAACGTACAATGAAAATGAAGTATGCTATGTTTGCATGTGAAGTGACAATGACCTTCTAGGTGGAAAAAAAGACAGCCACAATTTAGAAAATACCATCACTGAGACAGAGCTCCTAAATGAGAAAAATGAATCACTTGATTAAAAACAATTTTGATTTTCTTTCTTTTTTTGGCTCCAGATTTTATGGAAAGATACATCAGTTCCAGTAAGCATTCACTCTGCTCACATTACGATTTCTAACTAAAAATTCCTAAGAAATCTTATTCCTCCCACATTACCAGGTCGGGGACCAAACCGCAATCTAACAACAACACTAGACCATGTATATGCTGCTTGATTGTGCAATTTCTGAGCCATATTTAGATCATGGCTAGCAGATGACGTCAATCTCTTTATCGGTCGAAATCTTCGATACAAATAGCAATAATTGCTCAAATTTACAGGAAATGTGCTGCCCAAGATCTAATGAACTTTCCTCTTATTTGTTATCTCTAGAAGTGGATCGAGGAGATGTTTCAGTCGAATCTGGAGGTGTTGAATGTATCGGTGGGTAGCTGAGTTCTGCCAATTAAAAGGTTTTACCGAAACTTACTTTATGCATTAAAATATTGCCATTAAGAATCTCCATCGAGATTTGCCCGTGGCAAGTTTTATAATTACCATGGCAATTTTCCAAAATAACCATCGCACGTAGTATTGCCATAGACTCAAACGGTAATGGCCATGGTGGCCATGTTGGCTGCTGGCATGGTAGCAGCTTTCCATTCTCGTTATTTTCCCAAATTCTCACGAGAAAAATGACATCATTATCACGTGACCTGATAAAAATGATGTCATCGCTGTTTGAACAAGTGACATGCGCAGAAACTAGTGACATTGCTAGATTGTGGTTTGGTCCCCAACCTGAATACACCTGTTCCCCACAATTACAACCTCTTAAAAAGCTTCATAATCACAGAGCTAGTGGACCTCAGACAGTTCTTACCGGACACAGGTACAAGATACTCCTCTTCAGGGTCCTCATCTTCATCCTACAGAATATACAGCAATCGTTTAAAATGGCAACATGCTTTCTTTTCAGTCATCTAGACTAGCCGAATATCAAGTTTTGGGGGCAATTTTGCAGACAATACCAACATTTTAGTGTCCTTGGTTTATACCGGGCAATTTATGCACTCTACCAAGGCCTATTGGCCTAAAGCAACTGGAGTGTCAGATTCTGATCATTTAATAAGCACATGGACACATTTTGACTGAATTTCTTGGTTGTGCCAGGAATTGACTGATGTCTTGGGACAAACTCTGCACTGGTAGTCTGCAAGATTTGCTGGCTAATGCTGCTACGACTCTACACCCTAGGTCACATTGCGATACAACCGATAAATTGTCATCATTGAGTAAAAAACAGACCACCAGCAGCACAAAACAGTGAGACCTACTTGTATTTAGTCTAAAGTTCGGTTTGCTCTGAACCAAAATTTGTGTGCTGATATATGTGCTCCTACAATGTGTCACTGCAGTAACCTGCATGGTCTTGACAAGAATTTCTTGAAACTTGCCTACCTGTGTATCCATTATTGGGGCTTCATAGTTCGGCTGCTCCACTTCTGTAAATAAATTTTAAAATTTTTTCTCAACCGATTGTTCCGACTGCTGTACTGAGTGCATATTTTGTATTTCATACTTTCCTGTCGGGTTAACATTTACAGACTCAACAAAACTTGTGAAGAAAATGGTGCAACATGATTGGCTGGGGTGTCCTTCCCTGTCTTGGGTGGGCAAAACCAGCACAGGCCCAAAGGGTTGGAACACTGAGCAAACCAATATGGCACAGCAGGGGGGAGCGATTGGCCCCAGAATATGTATGCAGGTTTACTGGAATACCTTGTATATTTATCATTGATAGTTTTACGCATGAACACGTACTGCATGATTGAATATGGCCCACTTCTGTGCTAGCTTACACCCATTTCAGACAGGCATTCTAGAGTGGCACCAAACCAAATTAAAAGCAAATTTTAAATGAAGCATGGCAAAAGGTCGACGTCTGAAATAACTGGGAGAGACCAGGCATGCCAGTAGGCGAAAGATTGACACCTGAAGGCACTTAGAACAACACCAGCGTGAATTGGTTTCAGACATCGCTCTTCTCATGAGCCGAATCCGATGCAATGTATTTATTAAGTTTGTCTGTCTGAAATCAAAATTTAAAAGGGTCGACCTGAGTTGCTCTTTACTCTACCTGGTTCAGCGTGACCCTAGAACGCCTGTCTTAACAGGTGTTACACAATATACCAGATTGCTTAAGCATGCTCAGCAACCAACACTTAAGTGACTGGTGTGTACACATACCTATGCAGGGGACCTCATAGTTTTCTTGTTCTTCCTCCTGAATTTAATGAAACCACAGAAATCAGACAAAGAGCCGTGAATTTCCAACAGCTGCAATCTCAGGTAATACCATGTCCAAAAGATGTGCAAAATCTTTGATTTGGTTCCATCGTACCTGCTTGGCGGGGAGCTCACTCTGTCTCTGGAAGTGTTGCGGGGAGGGGTTGGGTCTTTGAGGCATTGGGGGAGCGTGTCGAGGGCTCAGCTGCTGTGATGGCAGCGCCCGGGATGGCTGGGGAGGGGGAAGGGTCGGCAAGGGCCGGAGTGGATCATGCCGTGGCGAGACACTGTGGGGAAAAAGAAAATCACAAAGATCGATACACTGGACAGAATGCAAAGATCCATGTGGGGCAAGTTGGAGTGAAAACTACATTTAATCATACTTTGACCAGTGTCGTTTATCAGCATGGAGGAACCAGCTGCGAGAAAAAACACTCAGATGTCACTGGTTAAGAGTGCAGACAGCACTGCAGCTAATGGCTCAAGGAGTGTGACGGTAAGATGTTAAAAAATGGTCTAACAAGGGTTAAGTTTAACTATATTGTGCATGCCCACCGTTAAAAAATCAACTGACCAATGGTCAAACTACAGTTTGCACCTGAACTTGGCTGGGGTCAACTCCTCTGCATGACACGTGTGCGCAGAATGTATGCGAACTCATTATGGTTAAGTTACCTCAGTCAAGACATCAGCCCTTCGTAGCATCACGACCAGGGCCTAATTTCAGGGCGCTGCTAAGCAAACAGTTTTACACTTACACAGGCCCCGCATATTTCATGATGACCGTAAACAGTAAGCACAGCAAAGGGCACCCTAACCTCGGAAGAGAAATTCGATGAACTTGATGACGAAATCTCTATGCAAAATAGCAAAATTTTATGCTGCAGTAAACACACCTTTTTTTTACTGTCAAACGGTGAGGATAGTGGGTGCAAGTGAGTTATGCACACTTGGTCCAGCAATATTTGACAAGCAGAAATTTTAGTCTCTCACAATTTACACATGTATCATATTCTCGGCATGGACAAAATAAATCAGTGGTGAAAAATCTGCTGCATTGGACACTCATAATCCGAATGGATCGTTTGGTTTTGGATACAGACAGCAAAAGCATGTACATATGTCACCGGCTAGTTTTCAGTGACTGGACAAGCAAGTGGATAAGAGTGGTGAAGCCTTGAGTACATACACAATAGATGCATTTAAATAAAACAGCTGTTAGGACTGTGTGTCAAGTCGCATGCCATTACAGAAGGATTTCACAGTCAATCCCAAGGAGTAAGTGCATTACGGTTCACTATTGGTTCATGCTTTTCCAAAATCACCATGCTCTGAGGGTCTAAATGTTACTGGGGACGAGCATGTACTTCCCAGACAGTATGCAGTTGCTGAGGCACTTTTCAGATTGCTGTTTTTCTTCAGAAAATCAGCAAGTTCCAAAGTTTAGGCTACTGAAACCTCAGAAATTGGGAACGGTTTAAATGAAATCGGAACAGTAGTTGGGCATGCATTAGGAGAGATTGACTGATTTCAATTTGGCCACGATTCAATCACTCACAGGATTAACACACATAAAAGGCAATGAAACAGCATCTTCATAAAGACTATACACAAGGAGGTGGAATGTGATGGGCACTTACACTGGTGGCAGTGGGCTTGAAGACCTTCCCTGTGAATGAAAATAAATAAAAAAAGAACAAGAAGATATTTGTCATGAAATATGAACCATCTTTCCTATTAAGATAACATCCGGTAATTACAGGCTGAAATGTCAATATCAGCTACAGCAAACAACCTGGGCATATATGACATGCAATAGCACACAATTTCCACCTATCTGTTTGGATTTGGCAAATTTACAAATAAAAAACAAATCACGAGGTAAGATGATTGTACATAAACATTTTAAAATGAACTGCACATATTTTTCAGCAACAGCTGGAAAGTTGTGTATTAAGTTACATTTAAGATATGATAGGATTATATAGACCAAGGACATACTCACACCAGGCTGAGGCCTCCTCATTATATCTGGCTGCAGATCTAATTAAAAAAAAAACAGATAAAAAATGATTACAGCTGTTGATGCATTCATTCTAAAGTGGTCTTTTAAATAAATATCTAAAAGCCTGGCATTCCAGAGGCTGAGCAGCTCTGTTCCAACACTACTGTCAATTGTTGAAATGCTTCCACTGACACTTGGGCTGCATCCGAATCTGTTGTCTATTTTGGAAACGTGCGGAGATGCGTAGACAATAGAACTAGCTGTAGCTCTGGAAGCGGCCTTGGTTTCAAAGGCCGTGATAATATCTTTTTAAGAATGAAAATCCAGGACTACGTGTACTTGTGCGAGTTCAGAACACAACAATATACCTTTAAATGTCCCACAAATGAATGGATTCAGGGCCAAAACATTTTTTCGGGGGGGGGAGTCAAAACATAAAGAAATTTTTCATGTAACCTTTGATAGCCTTTCTGAGAGGTGAGACTAAATTTTGAGGGTTTTTATACGCTTTCGGAAGGAAATGAAATAAAACAGACCAAAGAATTTGTCTTTCTGTCATTGCAATCACATTTCTCACAATATGCCCTCCAAACTTACAAGCCTACCAGTACAGTACCTATACAACTTACAGTTTATGCGGAAGAATAGATTGTAATGTATTAGTATGAGACATTTTCTGAGCTGACAGTAGGTTTCTGAATATTGCGCTTGCTTTTTAACTACACTCACTGTCATCCTCATCTTCGTGGGGCACGTCGTATATCTCGTCACAATCACCTGCAAAACAAACACAAAAAGAATGACATCACAACTGACTTGATGATGGCTAAACCAACAGGGATGGCACTGGACCAGATCCATTGACTCTCAGTTGTTCTGGACCTAACTGAACTCCAGGGACGGCTACATGTGCAGTTCCACTGCAGCCCATGATACCCATTTTTGAAAGGTTTTCATCAACTTGTGGGTACCGGCAGGGCACATGTGACCTGGCATGACAAAACGAGCGTGAATTCTGCTCTTTCCTGTTTTGAGGGTTCACAGCCAAATATTGAAGTGGGGGTCAATTTTGGCTCTTTGTAATATTTTGAAAGAGTAACCCCTGTATTCCATTCCAATTTTGTTAGCAGGATCAGATATTTAAAAATGTCATTTTCTCAGCAATTTCGATGATAGCAGACGTGTTGAAAAAAATAAAGACACAAAGATGCCACATAATGCCATGTTGTCACCTCATGTACTTTACACTCAGTGTTCTACGTACATACCATTGAAAAGCTCTCTTTCTGCTGATTTAAAAACACTAATATCTCAATTTTTTTTTTTAATTCTGACTTTCAGCTCATTTTGTGGTGACGGGTCTTGCATGGTGTGCCAGAGGGTTTGGGGGGGGCACAGCTATCGGTGCTCTTATTAACGAGGTTCGACTATATGTTACAAAGGAGAGCTGAAAGGATAGGATTTTCAAAAAGGTCAAGTTTGAATCCAAGACCAGAATGTGCCTGTCTGGTTTGTTTCAACTCGGTCTCTTTCCAGTGCCACAGCTTTCTATTATAAAATTGATATGTGAAATGGTGGGCACCACATATTGCGCTTGGAGGCAAATGTCACCCCATACTATTGTAACAGCACTGTTTAACAGGACAATACCAACAATCAAGAGGACCTAGGACGAATGATGCCTTGGATTTACATGTACCCACATGCTGTCTACACTCACACACATGGCCCAGAAACTGCTGAGGTGCTTTTTTTCCAAGCACTGCACTGCTTATATTAATCATATGTAAATGCATCCAGTTGATATGTACTTGAAAGTTGCTGACGTCGGCCGAAAAGTTCAGAGAGTACTGTACAAACACATAAATATACCATGGGCCCAAAAGCTATATACCGGTAGATGTATAAATTCTTACAGAACAGTTCCTACAAATGCACACATGAGCCATTCTATAAATTAGGGGTCCACATCTGGCATATGATTTCAGAACACATTTTCCACTTTCCAAGCTGCCCAAAAGTAATAGTTTGCAATCAATTCCGGTGATATTTCCATGTCAAATAACAAAGGTCAGACGTAACGAGGACACAGAAATGTCACACTTCTGGACCCAAAATTTATAAAATGACCCACTAACACAAAAGCAAGGGGGGGGATAAAGGGGGCATAGAGGGAACGTGAATCAAATCAAAACCATGGGAACCAATTGATGCAATCAGGGGAATGGTTTGGGAATAGTGTGTGGGGATGAACACTGATGACTTTGGGGGGGGGGTGGAGCAGAAGGGGAAACGACGACTGGTTGGGGGGAGTGAATGGTGGAGGGGGGTTGGATAATCATCCGCTTGTTCTCATGCACCAAACACATGGGAAATGTCAGCCAATCAATGACCAGTCACAAAGAAACTTTTAAACGTGCAAATATAAAAAGTCTTTTTTTGTTTTGAGACGTCCCTTTTTGTTGGTCTCCTGCAAACTGCACATGCAGCATGCACTGATGCATTAATCCTGCATGCTTTTTTTCTTCTCTTTATTCCAGAGTAACATGACTGAAAAGTTTAGACCCACAAAACCCCCCGACCGTCATGCTCATGAATTATAAACAAGCTTGACCTCATTTGCAAGCTAGGTCGTAAATGTGCCACTTAAAGAGGTACACAGGACCAATAAATCATGATTTGAAACCTCAGATCGAAAAAAAAAAAATGATGCCTCCCAAATATGTTTGTACATGTACAATGCATGCAGCATTTACACAGCCAAAAGGAAAAACTGTCTAAGTTGGGAGTCTTAAATTTGAGATAAAGGGAACTTTTTCTTCTTTGTATGACTGATAATTCAGAAGGCATTGATCCACAGCACTTTCATCATCAGATTGTAAACAATTCCATTACCCAAAACTGCTTTTGACATTATCAGCAGATTCAACATCATCAGATTATGAAGTCTTACGATATCAGACTACCTTCAGCAGGTCCACATTTTGCTGTGGTCTGAACCCAGTATGATTCGGCCATTTTTTCCCCCCAACATCTAGTACTCGGGCTGAATTGCTGAGTACTATTATCAAAGGCTTACCGTCACCATATGAGCTGATCTTCTGTTCAGTGGGCACTTCGTATGTCTCATCAAAATCTCCCTCTACGTACAGTTGATGGCACAGTAATAAATATGAAATTTCAGCCAAGGTGGACACAGCGGTATAATTGCGGTGACCATAGTGATCACAGTCAAGATTTGGATGGCGATTGTGTTGGTGTGACAGTGCAGATGAAGACAAAGGAATAAAACGTTTCAGGCAAGATGGCCATAGCCATGATGTGGGTGATTGCGATGGGCATGGAGGTGTTAAATGTGTGCGTGGGAGAGTGGGTTTGGTGGTGAGGATGGGAGTAAAGGCAGGATTAATAGAAACAAAGGTAATTAAGGAGTAAAGTACGGAAGTAAGAGGAAGGAAAAGACAAATCTCAAAATATTAACACAAATATTGCAGTTCATTTAACGTATCGCATGACCTATCAAATGTATAATGCCTTGACAAAAAGAATGTGTCTGACCATTGAAAAGTAGAATCTTTCTGAGCAAACAAAACATTCCTTTCTGTCTCACAAGGTGTGCTTTGGAGATTCACATTTTGTAATCGACAAATCAAACATTGGAAGAAGTGGAACCTGACATCAACCCTGGCATATATTAGATCGCCAGCTGAAATGCTAAAACAATGGGAATAAGGACAAAGGTATCATCCAACAACCTTGACAACAAAAATATGCTTTACGAGATCCATTTGGGGTCTACATTTGTTCGGCATTTGTCTTGACAACATCTCACACCTGTGAGGTGTCCTTCAGAATCCAGAAATTCTGTAGACTCTTACCTGGGTTGGGGGCTTCGTACAACATGCTAGAGTCGTCATCCTTCCCAGATGCACTAGAACTCTGCCAAGCAAAAAAAAAAATTAAAATCTATTCAAACTACATGTCCATGCATAATAATACGCTCCAGCAAGTGAGTCCTCTGTATAGATATACAATGTACACTGTACCTTTACATAAGACAGATGGTTGAATCCTGAGCCCAGTTTTACACAGCTGTTTTGCACAGAGAGGTCATAAATTTGCTCAACAAAAGTAGATTTCTAGCCAAAATGTCAAGTATTGTGGATTTCTTGAGACTGGTTTCTCTTTGCTGTGATTGCGCAGCTCTATGAAATTGGGTCTGGATAATAACACATGAAACTTCAACAACATGAATGTGTCATCAGTTGCACTGCAAAGTAGCATACTACACTGTCTCTCACTTCTGCACCAGGCTGGCTTAAGCCTGGTTTCGGTCTGCAAGACATCAAGATGCAGATAGTCATGCAAGAGATGCGGTGCGACGTCATTCCAACCAAATATTAAACAAAATGGCGCCCGAATCTCAGAAAATTGTCGCAAAAAATGCCTTTTTAGGTGGCAATGTTTCCTCTTGAAGCCAAACTGATACTCCAGTTTGATGTAATTTGTTAATGGTCAGCTATTTTGTTGACGATTGGGGCTGCATATGCTAGTAATAAGGAGAAAATGGACAAAATGAGTGGTACTATGCAAGAGAAACATCATACGCCTGTCATGCCAAAGTGTGTTTGTATCGGCCTACTCAGCAACTCAACGCAGACAGTCGGCAAAGTTGAACCGGGCTCAACTTTGCTGATCCGTCTGGGGCTGGTTTGCGGGGCCGGCGATACTTCCGTTTGACATGTTTCCATATGTCTGCGTTGCTCTCTGCGTTTCTTAACGTCGATATGGAAACTAGGCTTTACATACGTACATACATGCGCCACTTTGTTACCTTGCACAGCAAGTGAAACATCCTACTTGTCACTTTGTCGTGCAACTGATAGTGAATGGTGTGTAGGCTGAAGAGGATTTGAATGCTATGAGGCTCAGGATGCTCAAGATACTGGGTATTTTCATGCAGCACTATTTATGAGTGGGGGTGATCAAGTTCTGCTGTGCAAGTTGTTTTTGAAGGTGACTGTAAGTAAACAATCAATCATGAACCCTAACAGCCCTCAATCCTCCAAGTTCAATATAAGTTTGCATACACCCTGGAGGTTAGGGTTCATTATTATGGAATCGCTCCATTAAGAATACAAGTTGAAATGTCCATCTGTCTTTCGAGATACGTCACAGTGAGGGAAAATAAAAAACCGTTACGTCAACACTAGAAATTCCCATCTTTACAAAACTTTGTACAGCGTTTCAACTTTCAATGGCATGAATGTAAATTGAAAGAGAGGAAATCTGGCGAATCAATTTCTCTTTGGAGGAGCAGCTTACACGTATGTTTCAGTTCAATGCTGTCAACTGACAACAGGAAGCATTGTTTTTTATTGTGTAAACTGCGTGGACGCGCGGACGTGCAGCTCTGTGAGGCATGGTACGACACTGGATGATATCAATGTCTAAACTTTCAGGAAACTTGAATCACCCTGTCGTGGTGTTTTTCCCGAGGTGCTGATGAGTATGAGGTGGTGAAAAAAACTACGACAAAATCCAAGTAAACGCCGAGAGTGTATGTCCTGGAAATAAGGCTAACAGGCCCTCTCATCACAGTACCATTTTACACATGTGTTCCATAAGCAATGGTAATCTGACATTCTGTGTCCTTTGCAAGTCAGGCAATTCAAATTTGGCCTAATGTTGCATACCGTTTGAAGCTTTTTTTGACATTATTGCCACATTTTTTTAGTTTGAAGTGGCAATACGGGCCACCAAAGGGCTGAGGTGGTCACTAACGAGAGTGAGGTGAGACGCCTCACCTTTGAGCAGGCTGTTTACCATATAAGCATTACGGCGATTTGACCAGTACGAGCGTGAAGAAACATGTACTGGTACATGCTTATGTAGGCACTTGCAGGTGATGTACATGTTTGAATGAGACACGGCAAACAGTAGTCTAGAACAACATGACTATATTGGCTAGGATGGTGATCACTTGCATAGCAACAGTGGAAGTTTTCCAAAGGTGGGCACCAGGGATGGCTCCACGGTTGGTCCGTCTGCAGGAATGAAGCCCCGCATGGCAAAACACGCAAAAGCTTTCTGATAAACCATTAAAAGTGAAAGGGGGTAAATTTTGAGGTTTGTTCCCAGCTAAATGGAGATTTTCATTGCTTCTTGTTTTTTATTTCTTTCCTTTTCCCCCCCCCTTTTTTTATAAATTTTTTTCCGGGGGGGGAGGGTGGGAAGTGGCAAGTACCTCCCTTATCCCATCACCACGCCAATACCTACGCCCATACACATAAATCACAATTTGCATTAGATCCAAAATGGCTCGTAATTCTAATATTTGATCGTGGTCAAGGTTCTGACGAAGCCTGACGAAACCACAGCATGGCCCAGTTCTGAATGCTAAAATGATCAGGAAAGAAACTTGTTTTTTCTTCCTCAGGACCGAAGCCTGTATAGTGCTGTAGTAGCAATACAGCATATAGGGACTGAAACCACAAAAAAGCATGCCCCAGGCATGAATTCAACGGAGTCAGCAGAGTTCTAAAGGCAAGGCAGAAGCAATATGACAGGCCCATTGAAGTGTCAGGGACACTTGCAGTTCTATCAAGGTCAGTGTAAAATAGCTTAGAGATTTTGGCAATGATAGCGGTGTCAAAGGAAATGAGCAAAACCGCAGAGTCGTGACAAAACATTTGGTCTTAAGCCGATTGCTCTTTTGTTGACACAGCCACTAAAATGTCAACTTCCTCGCACTATTATCAAATTCATACATGTGCATCTAACACACCTCAGTACAGTTCTGGCATCTGAAAGGATCCCAAATATATTCTACAAAAATTATCCACCCATTTTCTGTGAGATGGTATGGCTTTTTAAGAACACAAAGAACTGTTTTTCTGGGGGTTTTTTATGATCAAAAGAAAGCACATACATGTGCATGCACTGATAAGCCGCAAATAGGGATCACTGACCATTTCCTGCAGCTCTGCAGATGAATAGAATTTATTCAGAAATCTTAACAATATTTTCGGGCCTTCGATGAAGATTTGCCACCATGCCAGAGGAAAACCCCAAAAAATGTAAATTCCAAGGCACAGCCTGGCATGAATTGATGATCAGATTGAAGGAAATGTTGTGACGGAAATGGACTTTGAAATGCACATGACTGCGCCTGCCAAATGGCATGATTCCTTGACAGTGTGGGGGAAATAACAAAAAGTGACCAAGTTTTTTTCTCTTTACAGGAAGACTTCATGACGTGAGGGCAGCCACTGCTCCGGCCTAGATGGTGTTGGGTCACTTATCCCGCGGGCTTTGCGAGCCCAGATATTGGCCAATTCCTGCTGGAAGACAGGGGTGTTGGTCTGCAAAAATGTAATTGTTTCGAAGAGACAAAATATTTCAGGCTTTTGACTCACCGAACAAATGGATTGCTGCCCTTCTGTATGCTACTCGCATGAAACTTTGCTGATCTCATAAATATCACATAGTGCCAATTTTGACACCAATTGTTCTTGCAGCAATATTCTTCAAAGATGGAGAAAGATCATCATTTTACAATATACACCTGTCTGGTCATGCTTGTAGTGCTCTCTGTAGAACATAGCAATATACATGTACATGTATATTGTGCGTCATGGCATGATCAAGGATACCATTTATAATGCATGTTAGAATATTGATCACAACCTGACAACAGTGGATTCCACAGATCTGCCTGAAGCACATCTGCATGTACCGGTACACCAAAGTCCCTCACAGTTCAGTGTTCAAAAAATGCATGCATACCAGTACGTAATGGGGTAACTAGAACTCGAGTACACATTTTTGCTATTTTTGCAACAGAGGAAACCATATGAACACACAAACACAAGAATTCAAATGGCATAAAACGAAACAAGCAAAAAGGCACCAAGTGAAACATGAGAGTATTTGGCACATTATGGTCCTCACAAAACCTGGCAAGTGGATCGGAAGTCTATCACAGGTCATCTACTCTGTCAAGCCACAAGCTATTCAAGCGAACTACCAGAAAGACAATCCTTTTTGGCTTTTTCTTCGCTGTTACTTGTGACCAGGGGCCAATTTCATAGAGCTGCTTAAGCACAAAATTTGCTTAAGTGGGAAAAATATTTGCTTAATAAACAAAGGTTACCAGCTCAAACTCTATCTGATTGTCATGCTAATCAAAAAACAGCTAAATAAAATCCCAAAACAATATACATCACATGGAATTTGGCTGGTTAACCGATTTATCAAGCAAAGTTTTTACGCACTTAAGCAAATTTTGTGCTTAAGCAGCTCTATGAAATTGGCCCCAGACTTGATGACCTGTGACTGGACATGTACCTGTAATGGACTCAAAAACGGCCAAACACTGCACGGTCACTAATTTCTCTTTTCATTTTGGAACAGAAAGTGAAGAGTGCTTGAATCTTCTGGAACACAACTGCTCCGGTTAGGAACAGGGGCTGTTCCCACTGGCAGACAAAAGCACTGTGCTCCTGCAAGATACTGGCAGGCCCTCATCATGTACTCAAAGAGGCACAAACATCAGCTGGGAATGTAATATGAGCATGGCGGGTTCTCACGAGGAACCCACATTACCAAAAGGAGCATGATTATCGAAAGAATAACACCCACAGTTATGAGACACTTCCTTTCCAATCCCATGGGGTACATCCATCCATTCTATTTATAGCCTCGGATAAAATGGATGCACACAGAAATGAACAAAATTTGAACTTAAGCGGTAATGTAAAAAATGGATGTGGAGAGGGTTGCTTTGGTACGTACCAGATTTGTGAAGGAGGATGTGGAGGAGCCATTGTAACTTGGTGCACGACCTGCGGGAAACACAGAGAAACATCTAGAATTACACTTTGATATGCCTGCACCTTTTACACAATAGTACTCTCACTTCCACAATCTCCCACCAAAATACACTGTTGATAAGGGTTGCGTATCAGAACTGGGTACCTCTGGTAACTGACTGATGTTGCTGAAAAACGGTTCTAAGTTATGGAGCTAGGTACCAGTGATTATTCACTCACTACAGAAAATGAAGAGGTTTTATACGGTTTTTGTGCAGTCCTTTTAAAATGTAAATTTTGAAATGTAAACCAGGCTATATGGAAAGTTACTACAGATTTCCCACTCATGTCCAAAGATGGATGATGGGTGTTTTTTGGTCAGACAGAAATTTCGTTGACATTTGGGATTAGTGGTGTAGGTTTTGTTAAAAGGTAGCCATGTTTTATTTCCTGCCCACAAGTCTACTGCGCTGAAGGGCAAGCATGACTAGATGTGCTAACTTGAGCCAGATTATGATGACTGCAGACGATCTGCCTGGAATTAAGGGCAGATCCAGAATCAAATATTGGAGGTACAAGGCTGAAACTGTTTCATGGGGGCCAAAAAGTTTGGAAATTTCAGGTAACTTTTCATGGCCTTTCTGAGAGATGAGGCTTTATTTGGGTCTTTTTAGCAGCCTTTGGGAGAAGTGCAGCTCTCACCAAAAGAAACCACCTTTTCACATAATTTTTTAACAACGAACAGCATTTTTCTCCTGGGGCAGACTACCCTACCCTACAGACTGGCCCCTACTGCCTCCTCCTGGACCCACCAACGTCTGCCGGCCTTTCCATGGTTCGACAAAAACATTCATGTTCACAACAGTACCACCCAAATGATTATTAATGACAGATCCAGGGAAGTTATCAAGGAGGGGGAGAACTGATATGGACAATTAAGAAAATAACTTGCCCTGTGTGTTTCCTTGTGGATGGACATCTTCCACCTCTTGTTCAAACCCCGGACCCTGACAAAAAGAAACAAAGATGCAAACATGAGCTATCATCACTTGTTCAACTTCCTGGTTCTATTGTAAACATACTGTTATACAATACACATTGAGGATCATGGCCCTTTCCAATTTTGGTTTTGATTGAGGGACCGGGATATATCATTACTAGAGCACTCAAAACAGCTAAGACAGTATACATGTACATATGCATCCAAGTACTTTTGGTATGTAAGTTGATAAGTATATGTGCATGTAGCAATCAATCCTAGGAACCACAGTCGTCCACTACATTATTTTCAGTGCTCTGAACGAGATGTGCAAACATTTTCCCATTCTTCCCAGAGTGACATCACAGTTTTGCTCATGAATATGGAATACGCGTTGGCTTCAAAACCCCAATGCAGCAAAGTATACCTTTTAAAATGTCAGTGAAGCAAAAACTGAAAAAGAGATGAACTGAAGCACAAAGGTGCATTTTGGAGGTTTTTATTGAACAAAAAAACGGACTGCAGTGACCCTTTAAATCCTTTCCAAAAGTGACCATTCAGCCACTACGGTAATATTGGTAATTAGGCTGTACTCACATCCCCATCGCTGAAGTCACTGCCCCAACCTTCCTCTGCAGCAAAACATAGTACAAAGACACAATGAACATTTCTATAAAATTTGTCTTCAGTGTGTGATTTCAACCAACTACATGTACAAGTAGTATCTCTGGCCTTTGCTCTGCTGCTATTAATTGAAAAAGCAAAATGATTTTGACAGACTGGTGAAAATGTGCAAAATCTGTCGACCTGGTGCACGTTTGGAACAGGTTGACAGATTTTACACACTGTGATTGGCCAACGTGTTGTAAACTCTTGGAGGCGCACTATAGTTTGAATCGCCCGTATTCAACGCCATTCCCGGAGTGAGACGTAAATGATAATAAAACGACAAATAAAAATGGCTTTTTTGTTAATCAAAATGCTCTGAAAGTGAAATCTAATGGTTGACTCGGACCGGCCAGCCGACCCCGGCAAGCTCGGTGGTCAAGTGGTTAAGACATCTGCACTAGTAAGCAGGAGGTCGTGGGTTCGAGTCCCACCCAAGTAAGCTTGTGAGGTTTTTTTTTCGCAAACTCTCGGACAAGCACTGAGCATGCAGTGCTTATTAATATATACGTTGGGTAAGGGCAAAACCTGTTATATATAAATCTAATGGTGTTATTTCGAAACTGAGTCAAACCTTGGGCAAGTGAGTCCTCTTTGACAAAATGAAACTTTTTCTGAGCAATTTCAAATGAAAGAAGTGTGAAAGTAACCGGGAAAGCCTACATTTGCTTCTCCACACACACACACCGCTTCCAGCATGCATTTTGGACACTATTAACGACAAGAACTCACAAATTTGAGAATGTACGTGTACTTTATAGTAGGAAACAATTTGTAAGTAAAATTTCACATGTAAAAAAAGCGCATTACCACAAGTTATAGACCCCAAAAGAAATCTAACAAATGCATGTATAACATTGAAGCTTTGAAAAGGTCTATACAAAGAATTATGCATGGTCCAGAAAGATAGAAAATATTAAACAAACAAAACAAAATCTGATGCTGGATATTCCCAAATGTGATTCTACATCCAGAACAGACACATGTATGACTCCAACAATTCGCACCAACATGTACACAACACATGCATCATTTGCACAAGGTCTGTGAAGAGTAAGTCACCAACACTGTTGTAAAGTGTAAAGTGTACATGTACATTGTATACGTCACTTTGCGGTGCAACCAACAACATACAACAAACAACCAGGGATGAAAACAAACATGTCTTTAAACACGCATGCACAACAGTATGGATGGGGTTACCGTGGCAACAAAGATGTCAAAATCCTCATCGGCAGTTATACGTTATTGCTTGAAGAAAGTAAATGTGACAGCAGAAAACAGGAATTCATTACACATTCATTGCTGCAGTATGTACAGTACATTCATGTACATCACTGAACCAGGTGTATCAATGAACAACTTTATAACACATCTCTTGCTGATTCTTTGTCGTGATTGGCTGAAATACGGTCATGTGTAGTTCGCTAATACAGGCACACATGTACTGTAGGTTAGAACATGAAGCGTCAGTGTGAATTGGGTGCATACCAAGGCAGCCCGCATCTGCAAATTCCAAAGTACTCCCAAATTTGGACTTGTTACAGCGCCCCCACATGACAATAAAACAGTCAAAGACTCAAAAACTGGATATGGGGGAAAACAGCATTCCTTTAGCTGGCTGAGTTGCTTATGAGTTAATGGTTAAAAACAGTTTAGTAATAAACACCTGAAGATTTTTATTTCACATTTTGGATAAAGGTGTGTTATACAAAACATATGCACTGACATACATGTAATTTGGTCATTCGTGCATATCCGTGCCTGTGAGTGACCGGAAGAAGGTACTACTGATATTTCCCTGAGCCTTCAGCATTGAGGACATGTAGGAGTCTCTTCTAGTTCCTCGGGGCACAGAGACATCCACTAGCAACCTCATTGCCAGTCCACAATGTGTATATTATTTTCATATTCAGAGTGCCATAAGATACGCCACTGGTGAATTTCAGGCCCGTAACTTTCATGCTGAACGAAACCAGGAAATCAGCGTAACAAAGGTTGTGTGACTAAAATTAAAAGCGGGAGGGGCTAAACCGACTCAAGGCTCGTCATATTGCAGTTTCTGTCGAGCATTGGGTTTAACTTTCACTCCTTTATAAAGAGGCTAGTTGGGCTGTTTTCAGGAATGCAGTTAGGAAAGACTTTAAGGTCTTGATCTCTTTAAATTGCATAATCCACTGTAATTCCAAAAAGAATCACAGAAAATTTGTTGGCTCAAACCTTTGATATTTTTCTAAACAAGATACCACAGCCAGAGTCTATTACTAAGTTGACTTCATAAATAACAACACTTGCGTGAGATTTTTTGCAGGTCTGTGGAATGTCTTGCAATGCTGTTGCATTTTTTGACACTCTTGACATAAAGTCCCACGGTGACATTTGCCATGCAATGCCCGACCATGAATACTTAAAGAGTTCCACTCACACTTAAACTTTCTGGGTAGGCCTCCACAGCATTAACGAGGTGATTTCGTTTTTATAGGCTAAATTAGGACCGAGTTGTGGGGACATTTAGTTGTCCTAATAATATTTTTCGGTCCCCACAAAAATGAGTGTTAGTAACACAACAAGTGTCCATGGACAAGGTCAAACCAATGGGAACCACCGACATGTGCGGACTGCATGTGGACAGAAATTGCCATGGCCTACTTACAAGTCTTCGGTTTCCTGTCACAGAAAATTCCAGTGGATTTAGATTTTACACATCCTCTGGCATAATTACTTGTTGAAGATGAGCAAGAGTACATGGTATGATGTTTACCTTCGCTACCTTGTTCATCCCTACTGACTTGCCGCTTTGACTTGTCGTAGTCCGGTGTCGGTGTCTTGGGAGGAGGCTTAGTCCGTGCACTTCTGGAACAAAAGCAAGTTCAGGAGTGATCCATGAGGTGACACGCTCCGGATGCTTCTTTTTCTCTTTTTGTTTCCAAACAATTTACGAAGTTCTTGCATTGTTTTTATATAAGGAAGTCAGCCAAACTGCTATTGGATGTAGCCGTTCAAAGGAAAAAAAAAATCTGGAATAAGCAGCCATGCATAGAATGCCAGAGGTGAAATCTGCACTACTGGTAGGCCACGTCGCCACGATTTTCCTGGAAAAAGTATCCCTTCTGAGCCCCCAGGCATGCCAGACAATGTAGACATTGATATCATTTCCGTGTAAATCACTTACATGTAAACATTCATTTGGTAAGGAAAGCGCCAAGTGCCATTTTTAAAAGTGCAGACACTTAAAATTCCTAAAGAGCAGCATAATGCCATAACTCTGTACCACTCATTTCGAAATGCCAAATTCAAACATCTATGTACATGTAAATCCAGTCACCTGTGGTAAGATGATGCACCTCTTTGAAATGCACTCAATTAATTCTTGACAAAATAAGGCCGAGACACTTAATTTATTTGAATACTGTCGTTATGTAAAAAACTGTTTTTCCAATCAGCAAACAAGCATGTGTACAGGTCTGCACAATGTAAAGATACTTGAATGCTACACAACCATGCCTCAACATCAGCAGGGGGTAAACATGTACATGCACACCATTTACTTCTGCTGTAATTGTGCATACCCTTTTAAATGCTTCTGGTCCAAGTCACAGGCTTACAAATAACTACTCATTTACCCGAATCCCAGCTTGGACTTCTTCCCAGTTCTCCTGTTCTCCTTGACCTTGTTTATCTGTTTCCACAACATTCTGATGGGAAATGAACAGGTGTGTATTGGTTAGCAAAGTAAATGTACACAAACTCGTGGTAACCAATGTATGGAAACGATGCACTTGCTACACAACCCCACTTTAAGTTAAAAGTCTGGTGCGGCCCGATTATTAAAAAAATAGTACAGAAATAGCGCCGAGGAGAGCAATGTTTTAAACATGGTGTACTCTAAAAATTAGGGAACAGGAAGTTATCAGCTACATGTACATGTATCTACTCCATACAGTACAACCAATGACATCCTGTGTATATCAGGCATGCATTGGCCTGGCCTGGTCTTTGCCTTGTGAATTCAGGCCTTTGATTGCACCTTTCCTAATGCACCTTTCTTAGAATGCCCTCTCCCCCCCCCATTTCTCTATCCTATTTTATCCTTCTCTGCTGTTGGTGTCTGCATGCAGCTTCATTATCATAAAAAAAAGATGGGTCCTCAAAGATGTCTGGCTTTAAGTCAACTGGGCACTGAAAATAAAGTCATCAGCCCCTGGAGTTACTTATTACGGTTCTGGTGATAACCTCCCAGTTTCTTTGCATTCCGCTGCTCCAAGCAGATTCCTCAAAGGGGATTTATAGAGGACTTTAAAGGATCAAAGAATCCACACCAGCCACTAGTACAATGTACTTTATATCAAAAAGTGTTGTACCGCAACATTTTGCGATGCTGGCATGTCCAAGTTTAGATCCTGTTTACACGCCAAGGTCCTAGTACTGCATAAATATTGTGAGTGTGTGGCACACATCAATTTCATTTCTAAGTCATTTACATGTGTTGCAGTGTTTTCTCTGTAAATGTGGCACTGATTCCGTAAATTTAAATCAACGACCACGGTACATGTACATGTACTCCACAGGGAAGACTGTATTCAGACATGTAGGTAGTTGTACGGATACAGTACACATACATGTACATTGTGACGTTTCCTTCGGCTGGGGATTTTACGAGCAACAGGCATGGACATACCGTTACATTGCAGGAAGTCAGGACAAAATGGGGAAATAGTCACTTGCAAAAGAATTGGTTCACCAGATCATGGTATAATTTACAACGTGCAGGAATGGCAAAGTTCAAGTCCTAGTTCATGAGTGGATGGCGTTGATCCCATCACACACACAAGTGTGTATTTGCCTGCAACTGGGGACCCCCTGTTGTTCCTCTTTTATTTGTACTCTATTTTAGAAGACCACCCATATGTTTTGCACACAGTTGTCAATCGGGGGCCTTATTGTCTTCTATTGTTCAGGGTCCCCAACTGAATGCAGAAACAAACTTCACACTCACATTGAAGACACAACGTACATGTATGTATACATCTGGGCAATAAAAATAAGAAAGAAAAAGAAATTGTTGAATAATTCTCCTCATTACAGCTCTGATAAAATGAAATTTCATTCTGTGCACCATGTGTCCCCAGTGTAGGACCTGCCAAACTCTTTGGCATATAAGTGATTACCGGTACATTATGAATATCGGAGTTCTGACGACATTCATGTACATGTTGACACTGGCCAACTGTAACACAAAGAAACATCTTATTTTTTTTGCATGTGCAAAAACAAATATAAACAGTAATCAAGTTACTTACGAGGCTGGATCGCTCTTTCCTGTCGGCATATTAGGGTACAGTCTTCGCAGTTTGTTTTCTGACAGCTCCTGAAAGTTGAGGATTTAAAAAAAAAAAACCGAACAAACAAACACACAGATGAGAAGAGCACAAACACGAAACTACATGTACAATCCGGGAAGCAGGATTTTCTGTCAGGATGTGGCGGTTTAGATGGCGACGGTCGTAGCTCCAAAATATTCACGTGAGCACAAAAATCACATGCATGCAGCAGCACAAAATTGCTGGGTCCTTTTTTCTAAGTATAGCGCAGGGAAATCCAGACCTACAGGAAGAAGCCTCTGACGTTATGGTACTGGTAGCTGCTCGGTACGACTTGAGCCTTTAGCTGGCACCCCCTAAAAAAGTTAAATATATCTCCAGGGCACGGAACGGTTGTTTGAACCTCAGTCCAAGGAGCACGACGGCCGACTTTGAGCTGGGGCTTAAAAGCTGATTCTGCTACTCGTCAAAAGACTGCTGCATCAGTGGGAGCACCGCCAAGATTGAGCCCAGCAAACGAACAGCGAAACTGGCTAGGCAGCATGGTTGCCCTTTTCAAGCCCCAGTCATATTGTTCCTGACTGCACACCGAGAACTCCTTTCACTTTCTACATCCCACTCACACCTATCTACTCGAACTGTGTACATGTACGTGTTACATGTATCTGCTCTCAAATCTTTCTACAGAAAAATCAAAGTAAAAGTCTCCAGCAAAGCCTCCTTCCTGGTAAACATGATGTAATGGACATTAGATTTTAACCATAGGACTCGAAACAAGGAAACTGCAGCACAGCATGTGTACAAGTGTGTACATGTACACTGGTTCAACTGAGACTTCCTTGTGTCCCACACAATGCATGCAAGTACATGTACATCACAGCAACATGTTAAAAAAAAAAGCTTGGGCATGCACGTCCTCTGATGCACATGTATGTTTCAAGAACAATCGAACGTAATTGCCGGAGGCCTAAAACCATCACATGCAACTAGATTTACAAGGCCATCGGAAATGTTTACATCTGTGACATTAATCATGTTTATTTTTGCACACAGCCTAAAAAGCTTACGCTGTGCACTCCAATGTACCCAGGAAATTACCAGAAGTACAATCTACATGCATCTGTAAATTTTCTTTTGGACCTTTGAGTTTTGCCATCTTACAGTAGGCCTACATACCCCAAGCCTGCTTTATCTGCCCTTCCTATCACCGATCATTTAATACAACTTGTTGACTGTTGCGATGTGAGAAAAGGCATTTCATATCCTTTTTTCACTCCTGCCAGGAATGTCTCCATGGTACATGTAGCTTTAGTGTGAGGTGATTTCAGGCAGAGCTACCAGTATGCATCCATTAGGACATTTAAGCATGTTGAAAAATACACATCCTACATTTACTGATGCATTCTGCATCGCAGCAGTCATCAAATGGGCAGTTTCGCGGAAACAACAACCTCTGGGCCAAAATTTCAAACTGGTCCAAATGTGACAAATTACGTATCATTTTGAAGCTTATGGTGTATACTTTCATGAAACTTCATTTCTAACAACATTCACGAATTTTGCTTTTATATGATACTGAAAAATTGGTTTTAAATACCGAGAAATTGGGGAAAATATTTCCTCTCTGAAAGATTTTCTGTTTTTTAGCCTGAAAATAAGCTTTTTAGTTCAAGTTTTGTTACTGTTTGAAGAGTGCCCCAATAAGTAAACAATGACAGAAATGAATTTTCATTTTCCTTTGAAATTCTATGTAATGTCTTATTTTATAACACCTATTTTTCTTATGTACGTCTGACACCAAAATGACATAGTTTTTTATCCCCTCAGTGCACCCTTTAGCTAAAGACTGCCAAATTGACAATACAAAGCACAATGAGTTCCTTCTTTCTAGACATCAGCTTAACTCCCCCAATTATTTTTTCAAATATTCACAAATTGTGGAATCAGACGTGTACGTCGGACACCCTGTACGTCCGACACTGTCAGAACCATGCATTGCTAGCAATGCAATGCTTTTACACTGTACAGAAACCACTACCACCTCATTTGCATACATGGAAATGAGGCCCCAACATTTTGTAAAAGTACCAAATAGGCTTCACTTTTGTTTTTTACTAATTTGCCAAAAATTGACTATTTGGGCATACACATCCTAAAAGGATTATAATTAGGGCTCAAAACCATTCCACATGTGTCATGTGAAGATAACATGTGCTTTGCATGTATTCAGAAGTCATGTCAGTGTGAGCTTTGATGAAGACAAGTAAAGTTCTAGGTTTTGTATACATGCACCTGTAATCCACATCAAGAAAGAAGAATTGTCAAGGACTAAACAAAGGTGTGTTTTTTATACCTTTGTTCAAGGTACATGTAAAATCAGTTGGTTTCACTTTGTGTTCCTTGAGGAATTAAAGGGGTGTTCCACTTGTACTTTCCATGGCATATACATAAACAGTATCTATCATGAAACATACAATTTAAGACTTTAGTTTTAAAAGCATTATGCCATTCGTCTTAAATTTCAGTGAAAAGGATAATCTCTCAGCCTAAATGCTAACCCATTCCTTTGATTTTGCAATCATCTAAAAGGGTATGTATACATCTACTCATTTCTTTTTGGATTTCACATGTGTACTATAACCTGTGAAGTGTGAACTGGAAATCTTTAAAATTGCAGCTTAGTACACACGCAGCATTTGTTTAATTTCATGTTCTAAGACCAAAAGATCTTACAGGTACATGTACATGTATGCAACTGTCTTTTAATTTGATTTATTTATCTAAAGGATTGTCAACTGTACGAAACTTTTTTTTAGCTTGAATGTTTGACAGTACTGTACATGACTTGTTTAAATGAGCAAAATTTACATAAATACTTATAGACAATATTTTCCTTCATGCTGTTTCATTGAAAGCCCCATCGTGCAATTCCTTTCTAGTTGCTTTTGGTGATTTTTGTATGGCTTGGCATTTTCGTTTCGTTCGGAAAGTTTACTAAAGCCTTTATGAAGGTAGAAAAATGAGACAAGCTTGGGTTTGAACTGAATACCTTCTATTCTGAAAAGTCAGTTCAGATATACTCCCCTAGGGAGCTGAGAGGGTGACAGTAATTTGGGATGTTTCTCAGGCCCAATTAGTAGGGGCAATTATGCTTTGATCTCATTTAAAAGTAATACTTTAAAAACAGTAAAATAGTAATACAGTAAAAGTTATTATTATCCTGCCACACACTCATGGGTGGAGAGAACCAAGACGGAGACTTGTTTGAGGTCACAAAATGTAGCTAGAAGCAGGATTCAAAGCCCTGACAAAAGTTTCAAACCATTATACCATTACCACATAGCCACACTCCCCTACAATGTACATGTACATGTATTTGTACACTCCATGTTGAAATTCACTGAATCTCCGGTACAAGGTGGCATTGAGTCACTTTTGGATCTGGATGCATGAATTCACATGTATTTTCTAAGACCAAAAAAAAAAGGTGAAACACTTACAAAGAGCTCCTTGCCATCGATGTTATGTTTCTGTAAGGGCTCCACGTACTCATAGAAACCAACCTGGATGCAAAGAGTTCCCAGAGAAATTTGGAACAAAAAAATATAAGAAATTATTCAGAAGGTACATGTACCCTACCCATAATTCGGATGTGGGCCAGAGTGCATGCATACTGGTAAATGAACAAACACATCATGTACAAGTACATCTGTTCCTCATCCCAATTATGTTTCAGTGTACGGCATCCAATGACTGTTTATAAATGCAAGTTCCTGCACACTTCCATCATTAGCCTTGAATGCAAGAAAAGCAAACAAGAAAAACTCGAAAACAAAAACACAACTCATCCTCCCCGCATACATACTGTGCACAAGTACACTGGTAATAGTGGACATTGTGGAAATAACTAATCAGGCAAGCTTCGAATGCAGTAAAAGCGAGCAACTGAGCAAGCAAAAACTGAACCCCCCTCATGCACAGAAGTATGATCAATGTTGATGAAATCCACAGAATCTGTAAGATTCCTTTGAAAATAACGCAAGGAGGGAAAAACTAAAAAAATAAATAAATAAATAAATTTCAAAACATACAAGCACGGTGGACAATATAATGCTACCAACAATATTAAAAATGTATTCTTACTGGTACCAGTGTAAAGAAATTATAAGTTTTAATTTTCAATATTTACTTTCATTTTCTACCTTCGTCTGCACCATACTAATTTTTTACTAAGTCTGCGACAACATTTTTGTACTTGGAATATCCTTTCGCCTGTATTTGCGCAGGCTTGCATAACTGTTTTCTACAGTATGTCACTACTTATTCCTGTTCGGTGTAGCTGGCCATAGATGCATTTGATTCAGTTTTGATTTGTACTTTTCAGTCTTTATGTTATGTGATAACGTACATGTACGTTTATTTCATCAATTTGTCATTCCATATATTTTATCTTGTTTTAATACAGTACTGTAATACATTGTGGATTTTGATATTAATAATGTACCTTTTTTCTACAGACCACAACAGATCTTGAAGTAAATATTTAAAGAAAATGAAAACACATGTACATGTATGTATTAAATACAAGAAAAATACATTTAGTTCATCATCCCCTCTGCAGGTTTGACATTAACCCAGCTGAACTTATTTACTTCATTTCCAGCAACTATATCTACATGTACCAACCACAAGAAAATAAACACAAACTAAATCCATCATATCCTTGTAAAATTGTTAAAAGACAAATGCTCTCAATCTACACTAACCATGTCAACAATAGCCAAACACACAAGAAAAAGAACAGCCAAAAGACAGATGTCCAACACATGTTCCGGTACATACCGGTATGTACATGTACAATTACACTACAGTATGCATGCACCAAACTAAATATAGTGATTCATCGGATTCACCACACCGGTATGGTATAATGTTTTAGGAGAACTTTAAAGGATCTAGTCCCCATACAGTATACACGTACATGTAAATGTACACGTGTACGTACGTGTCTATCTTCTGCTTAATGGCCCAAACATTATTTACCAACACCTGGATAATGATTGATTACGTCCCTTGAAAGTTTCCGTGCATGACTGTGTGCGTGCATGATACGAATAAACTTATGCAGTGTATGTACATGTACATTGAATGTTCCATTGGTTTTGTCAGCCAGAGTTCTAGCCACAGGTCACCACTGTAACTTACATGTAAATGTACATTATGTACCGGTACAGTAAAGGCATTTATCTACAAACTGTGGGCATGATCCTAAGCAGCAGGCAAGAAAAAAAATGTACTTACATGTAGCATTGCACAAAAAAAGGTACATGAAAAAAATGTGCATCTAAGGAAAACTTCAGCTGCTATTTAAAATTTTCCACTTGGAACCTGGCCCAATGCAGGGGGCTCTGAATGATTACACTATGTAGCTCAAGATTCCTACCCATACATGTATAGACACATTATGGCAAGAAAATGAACATGTACACGCATGTAAAATGTACAATGATGGATAAGACATGTTACAAAACACAAACACAAAACCCACAGAGAAATCCAATTGTTTCCTCAATATTAACATTTTATGTGCCAAGATGTACTCATATACATGTACATGTACCAGGGTTCCCGTGGAAATCTGGAAACCAAATTCCATTTTTCCTGTCCTTTTGGAAGACTGCCATATGACCACTACAGTACACGAATAACAGACTGACAAGGAAGGCCTGTAAATTCATCATTATTCTGTGATCTCATTTGAAATGGCTCGGGCCCATCAAAAATAACCTTTGCAGGATCTTGATTTGCATAACACTTCCATGACTTTTTTCTCTGACAGCAGGATTCCGGGACACCCTACGTGTACATGTACCCGGGTGCATCATTTCCCCCCAAACTTCCATGACTTTTTCCAGGATTTTTCAGGAGTTTCTATGACCAGTGTGAGTTCAATTGATTGATGCAATTCTAATTTTGATGTATGTTTCATCTTTTTAATCCCTTCCTGTTATTCGTATTTCAAAACTACCGGTATTTACTGCTGTTGGTTGGTAACACTAAAATTTCAAATAAAATCAATATAGACAACCCCAAAACGGTAAACACTTGAAGAAATATTTACTGCACTGACGGACAGAGTGTAAGTCCTTTATCTCTGACACACCAGCGGTAAAGATGGCGGGTTGTGACGCATCGTTTTCCTGCCATGGCCAGCCCGCATATATGTGCTCACATACCGGTAAGCATACACAGAGCAGGAAATGATGTCAGCTGCGGGTTATCCCCTTGGGAAGGTAGGGGTGAAGAAAGGGGGTAGCTTTCATCACACATTCACAGCTTCTGACACTGGTTCCACTTTCCGATAAATTTGAACACTCTAGAAGTAAAAAAGCACTTGACACCAAAAAAATTGACCCCTGCAATGAGGAAGTGTACATTTCTTTAAACATGCCTACTGATGATCAAGTGATATGCATGGAGGCAGGATGCATGGCTGCAGGCAAATCAGGGAGTATAAAAAGCTGTAAATATACAATGTACATGCACCTGTTCATATTGATTAAATGTGTTTAAACTTGGCATGTTTATAGTCCAATGCCGTACTATGCACATGCATGAACAGACAAGATTTTGACCAATTTACCTGCACTGCACGGGCTGCGCTTGTGAAAGTTCTTTTTCACGAGGTGAAATTCAGCTGCCTATAGTGCTAGACCAAGCACTCCAGTCTGATGATCTAAAGTAGTGCAGATCCGGACATCGATATGAAAATTATGCCACAAGTACTACACAAGATAACCCAATATACATGTATGCAGCAGTGAGTGGAGGCCTCTACGCTACAGATGACTTAGCCCATGGGTCTCTTTAATAGGGGCAGTCTCTAGAAATTTGAGCATAGAACTGCAGGTCGATCTGCATTACAAACTGTGAGCAACTTCAAATGAACAGGCAAATATAAAAGTGTCTCGAGAGCTCAGCTAATCATAAGAGGAAATGCTTGATGGACGTACATGTACATGTATAATCGGAAAACTGGCCAGATTATTCACACGTACTGTACATATCTGTGGGGCAGCAACTTGAGAAGCCATGACTCTCAAATAAAGGATGTAGGGACCTTCTGGGGAATGCTCACACGTGCACGAAACTTAACTACAGCTGTGGAATAAAAGGAATCCAATTCCAAAAGCTGAAAGCTGAAAACAACTCAAGGAAAAGCTTGAACAAGTTGAACAAGGTTCAGCATGACGGCAGGCAAAGCATTGTTCCAGAGTTGAACGGTAGACTTCTGCAGCGTGATGTGAAATTACGTTATGTCAAAGGTCCTCGTACTAGAAGGCAATACCCTTTCGGAGAGGCTCTCTCAACAGACTGGCAGCAAAAATCTTCCAGTAACAGGGCCACGACCTGGGGAAGGTAGAACTCAACGAATGTCCAAGTCTTTCAAGCCCCAATCCAGCCAGCACAACTTGCACAGGATAAGGGTGTTGTCACATTTCCCGAGTTTCCTAAAAGCAAGCGACATGCTGCACATCGAGCCCTACTGTACATGCACGCACTGGTACGTTGTTACCCCCCTAGCGGAACGATAAATCAAACGGGGCAGCTGCCCAGTGACTCACACCCAATCCCTTGCCATTTATAGCGCCAAGCGACACCGGGGGCTGGCACAAGCTGTGCTACTGGTTGGCACTTGCTTGTGTGTGCATGTACTCTTTATCACGCTCATACATGTCCAAAAAGAGTGCTGGGATGCAGTTGCTAGGGCAGTCCACATTTCAATGGGTACATGTCGCTATAATAGAGTCCTGGATTAGACTAAACTTAGAACCCGCTGGGGTAAAAATAATCTCAGAGACAAGAAGGTAGGTATCGGTAATTGGTGGTGACATCCCTTGGCGTTGGAAGCGGAAGCACGTCGTTTCAGTGATGACGTACAGACAAGGACTGCCCATGTCCACTGCCCACGAAACCCCTGAGGATTCATGCGCAGGAAGAAAGGATATTTTCAGCCCCTTATTGATTGTTCATATTCATGGTTTATCAGAGGCTAGTTAAATGAAACTAGAACCTTAGATATTCGGCCAAACTTGGCCTATCTCACATGTACAATACACCACATTACACAAATCATTAATAACCTATGCTAACCTATACTGTATATGTATTTTTGGGAATACATTACCCACAGGGAAAGAAAATAATCCATTTACATGTATAATGGCTGTATCCTGATTAATCGCACTTTCCATATTAGGAGGTCTTATTGCAAAGCCGAAGATTAGCGAATGAAAACTTTTCTGAATTATTGCCTGACTACCTGTATAATGTACAGGTATAAATGTTAGAAATCTTTAAAAAAATATTTTTTTAAAGAACAGAAAACAGCAGCAACTTGTTCAGATGAATAACAGTACAGTAGATAGAGCACAGAAAGTTGTTTAATTTGGAAGGAACTGAAAATCTTTTCCATCTAAGTGCCATCTATCAGGTCTGTATGATGTGCCATGTACGGGTTCCATTTCTCAGTCATTCCTTAAATGAAAAAACTTGAAAACCA